AGCAACAGTTGCACTGGGATTTGCAGGTGATTATGCCAAGGTATGTGCTTAACAGGTCTATTTTTCAATTTCCAACAGCATGATAATAGGATCATAATGAAGATCTCGAAGATTTCATTTCAGACACTATCAAGTTTGTGGCAACATTTGCCCCTGTGATCATCCAAAGTGTACCCCACATCTATCTTTCTGCCCTCCCATTTGCACCAAATGGTTCAAGGGTGGCGAAAGAGTTTGGGTCCTTATTTCCGAATACCCTACAAACACAGGGCCCCTTGGAAGGTTGCTGGCCCATCATGCAGAAAGTGTTGCGAGGGCACACCAGCCTTGTTACTGCAGTTGATTTTTCACCAGATAGTGGGAGGATCATTTCTGGAGCATATGACAATACACTGCGTATCTGGGATACTCAAACAGGTTTACTTGTTGCAGGACCTCTTGATGGTCACATCGGGGGAATCAACACTGTCAAGTTCTCACCTGATGGCAACCGGATTGTGTCTGGATCAGCAGACAAGAATCTGTTTATCTGGGATGCTCAAACAGGAGCACCTCTTAGTGGGCCTCTGGAGGGGCACACCAAATCAGTCACATGTGCCACCTTTTCACCGGATGGTGCATTAATTGTATCTGGATCTGAGGATCAGACACTGCACCTCTGGGATGGCCACACAGGTGCAGCAATCAGTGGCCCATTGGAAGGACACAGTAGCCGGGTCAGCTCTGTCCATTTCTCACTGGACGGCACATACATCATTTCTGGCTCAAGGGACACATTGCAAATCTGGGATGCCCATACAGGTACACCTGTTGGTGATCTGCTAGATGGGCATATTGATTACTTCAACTTGGTCAATTTCTCACCCAACCACAGATCTATTGTATCGGTATGCACTGATCACACAGAACCCATTTGGAATACCGCTTCAGGTAGAGCCATTGGCAGACCTCTCCTGTGGATCTGGGATGCCAACACAGGTGATCTCATTAGTGGACCTCTACTAGGACACTCCAACCTGGTCCACTCTGCTGAGTTCTCTCCAGATGGTATGAGGATTGTGTCTGCATCTCATGATGGAACAATTCGCATCTGGGATGCATCAACAGGTGCACTGGTCAGCAGGCCATTGGAAGGACATACAAATGCTGTCCGCTCTGCCAAATTCTCACCCGATGGGGCATGGATTGGATCTGTGTCAGATGACCGGACAGTTCGCCTCTGGGATGCTCAAGCAGGCAGACAAAGTGATGGCCCGGTTAACGGACACCGTGGCTGGATAATGTCCGTTCATTTCTCTCCCGATGGTACCCATATTGCGTGTGGGTCATTTGATGGAACATTGTGTATCTGGGATGCTCAATCGGGTGCACTCGTTATTGGCCCATTGGAAGGACACACCCGACCGGTCTACTGTGTTGATTTTTCACCGGACGGCACAAGAATTGTGTCAGGATCTGGAGACAAGACCCTCTGCATATGGGATGCTACAACAAGCACACCCGTTGGATCACTGTTAACAGGACACACCAGTAACCTCACATCTGTCGATTTCTCACCGGACGGTACACAGATTGTGTCTGGATCCGAGGATCAAACACTACGCCTCTGGAACGCCCGCACAGGCGCAGTAATTGGCAGACCCCTAGAGGGACACACCGGCTGGGTTACCTCCGTGAATTTTTCCCCAGATGGGATGCTGATTGCTTCTGGGTCATCTGACTACTCCCTGCGCATCTGGGATGCGCACACGGGTTCACCGATTGGAGAACCTTTGAGAGGACACACTTGGACAGTCACCTCAGTACAATTCTCGCCGGATGGGACAAAAATTGTGTCCGGGGCATGTGACAAGACATTGCGCATCTGGGATGCCCAGACAGGTGCACTTTTGCGTGGACCTTTGACAGGACACACCAATTCGATCCGTTCAGCTAATTTCTCTCCAGACGGCACACTGATTGCGTCGGGAGCTGATGATGGAAAATTGCGTATTTGGAATGCGCAGACTGGTGCACGTCTCGGTGGACCACTGGAAGGACATACTCAGCTAATACAGTCCATCATGTTCTCGCCGGATGGCAGCCGCATCGCATCAGGATCATTCGATAAGACTCTGCGCATCTGGGAAGTTCGCGAAGCTAGCACCCCCATTAATGAGTCGGACAATCAGACCGTAACGGAACGAGATCATTCGGTCGGCGGTACACAGACCAGGGTAAGAGACCAGAATTTTGATCTCCTGCTGACTTACCTGTCCCTTCTGTAGATCATTTCTTCCCTCAACAAACCACTCGGAGATCGCCTCAGGTTCAAAGATGAATGGGTGTTAAATGCCGCCGGCGATCTCATGTTCTGGGTTCCGCCGTGGCGTCGTATTGGACTTTACATGCCCCGGAATACGCTTGTCATCTCCGCCGACGGCACAACAGAGCTCGATCTCAGCCGATTTGTGCACGGAACCGAGTGGATTAAATGCCGTGACCCAAGCTTCAGGGTGTTGTGATGGTAAATCAAAGTATGTCGGCATCTCCCGAAGCCGCTATGCAATTTACATGCGCGCTCGTCTCCTTGAACTCCGTTTCTCAGTCATCTACCTATCCTCTTACTTACTGTTACTTAGCATTTATTTCTATGGCACTCTTGCATTTGTATTTAAGCAGTACTATTCTACTGAATACAGCAGTTCTTACTTAGTCTCTTATAAACAGACGCTACAAACATTGATGCTCATACCAAAAAATCGGGCATTGTTTCATTTGGCTGGAAATGCCCTCAGCTTGCCGACGGTTTCGCCGACCGGCGGCTTTGGTTTTAATCGGTCTCGCGACCGATTTAGCAACACAGTCACCAACCGCGATCACGTGTACTGACCGTCGCGTCGCGTCTGTAGCGGGGCATATTTATTTCGCCTCGTCTTGGATCTGGTGGTACGCGTCTACGCTCTATGGATTCTATAACTTCCTGCTGCATAACGGGGGTTTGAATCCCGCAATCGTGATTGAGTTTCCGAGTTCTCGTTGTGAGTTCTCGTTGTTTTTTTAGTGGTTTTATCAAAGGGTTCAGTAGCGATTCTCGAAGTTGTACTTTTAATGGATGGAATCTAAGGGAGACGAAATTTCTATGTTCTACATGTCTACGTGGCGCACCACAATTGTTGCTTGTGTTTCTGTTCAAGTCAAGTTCAAGTTATTATTGGTTGAGTTGGATTTATCCGCGAACTGGCGTGACTCGCACTTCGAGATCCAGAATGAGATGGATTGTTCCCCGAGGATCTGTTTGGTATCTGGCAAACCCAAATTCGATATGGCCGATCGTCGCCTCCTTATATGCAAATAAATTTCGACTATCTTAATTTTCTTTTTTGGCTTTTGGAGTCTGACTGACTACGGGAGATTAGGTAGTGATCGCCTCCATATTGCGGCTGTGCACGCGATCCGAGGTTACCCCCGGCCGGACAGGCAATAGGACGGGAACCACTTTCACAATAATGAGGAGAATCAATTTCGGATAGTAGAGAGGTCGACTGTTGATTTTTCTGGCAGCAATGTTATACAGCATTACGGCTCTGCAGAACTCAGGAGTCCACGCCATTTTCGTCACTTCGTTACTTCGCTTAGTTTTGTGAAACTTTGTAACTTTGATGGGAATTCGTGAAAGTTCGAGAGTTAGTATTACGGACTTGTCAAGCGGCGACTCCTCGGCACATCACAGAGTGATGGGTATCAACAGCTTGCCGAGATTGGCCGCTTAGGTTTGGGTTAGCTGGTTAGTGTTAGGGTAAGGTATCTATATGAAAAAAACAGGCAGAGACTTGAGAGGAGGAGAATGATGGCCGGATTGATGTGTTTGATTTGTGTGGTTGTATATCTCACGAACTTTCCTGGAAACTCGCCAATGTGACGAAGTTTCACAACTTTCCATCAAAGTGACGAAACTTCGCAACCTTAAGCGAAGTAACGAAGTGACGAAGGTGGATACGACGCAGAACTCAAGGCACAGGTGGTTTTTTTTTCCAGCTGTTTTGGGCAGAACAGCAGTTGGGGGCTCAATTCTTGTCTGTTTGCCTTGTGAGTATGCTCAATCGATTCACAATTCCGACCTGCGCTAAATTCCCTCCGAAATCAGTGCTCAAACACACATTTGTTTTATGCCGAAATACAGTGGATATGGTGTACGAAGGCAATATAAAATCAGGTCCACGCCGTAAGCCCGGGTTCGACTCCCAGTGTCTGCGCTTTTCATGAATGACATCCTCTTTTTCCCCCGATCCTCTTTGCGGACAACGCTAAATCTCACAATTTCTACAATGAATTGCCTTGTATATTCCTCAATAAGTATGCCAAATTCCTCGCATCTCTGAGCCTCTTCCGCTTTAACTTCCTCCTAAAATCACCGCACAAAAAGAAGTCGGGTTCATCTAGAAATAAGCGGACATGGTGCACGGCGCACCGCGGCCCTACCTGAGCGACATAGTGGGATAGCATGCCGCAGTACCGGGTTCGACTCCCGGTGTCCACACTGCGTTCAGGGTATTCTGGTTTTTTCTCCGACGTCCAGTTTTGGATCAAGTTTCTTGGGCATCAGTCAAGGAAATCAGCGCACGGAGGAAGTTGACATTTGAATTGTGGGTATGATATCATGCTCATGATGCGAATTCGCCCTCGATTCCCAACCCTGTCCAATCGATGTTCGATCTGCAAGAATGAAGCGGACATGGTGTACGGCGCACCGCGGCACAGGATATGTTCATCCTAAACCAGTCTTGAGCACAAGCCGCAGGCCCGGGTTCGACCCCCGGTGTCCGCACTCGCATCGAAGAATGAAAAATTTTAATGGTCCGGATATATTGTGTACGCCGTCGATGTTTGGTTGTTCTCATCGATTCTTTCGTCAGGGGCTGACCGCGTTGCACGAATATATGCAATTCGTCTCTCGATCCTCCATCATTCAGCGTCCACGAACGACCTCTCAAATAAAAGTACAATTCGGGTACAATACAGCGGATATGGTGTACGGCGCACCGCGGCCCTAAATGGGATCTTCGAGGAGTGGAGGCCGCAGGTCCGGGTTCGACTCCCGGTGTCCGCACTTGCGGCGAAGCATCAGTGTTTTTAATGGTCCGGATATATTCTGTACGCCATCAATGTTTGATTGTTCTCATCGATTCTTTCGTCAGAGTCTGACCACGGTGCATAGCACACTGTACTAGCTGCTGCCTGAATATATGCATTCCTCCATTATTCAGCTCATATAAAGTGCAACTCGGGTACAATACAGCGGATATGGTGTAGCACCGCGGCCCTAAGTGGGATCTTCGAGAAGTGGAGGCCGCAGGTCCGGGTTCGACTCCCGGTGTCCGCACTTGCGGCGAAGCATCAGTGTTTTTAATGGTCCGGATATATTCTGTACGCCGTCGATGTTTGGTTGTTCTCATCGATTCTTTCGTCAGGGGCTGACCGCGGTGCATAGCACACTGTACTAGCTGCTCCCTGAATATATGCAATCCTCCATTATTCTGCGTCCACGAACGACCTCTCATATAAAGTGCAATTCGGGTACAATACAGCGGATATGGTGTACGGCGCACCGCGGCCCTAGAGATCTTCAAAATGGAGGCCGCAGGCCCGGGTTCGAGTCCCGGTGTCCGCATGGATTCCAAGGCAGTCATCTTTTTTTCTCTTGTTGTTATTGGCAGGTCTTTTTTGTCCGTGACGAATTTACCAACTCTTTGATGTCTTGAGTTCCTCGCTGCACGAGTGGCATGAGTTCGGTGACCATCCTCAATCCAGGTTCTTATGTAATCCCCGCCAAACAATGTGTCTCTCGAACCCAGGTCAAGTTCAGTGAGAATGAAGCGAACATGGTGTACGGCGCACCGCGGCACATGGTTACACCGATGAACGATGTCAGGGTCGCAAGCCCGGGTTCGACTCCCGGTGTTCGCATGGGGTATATGGCATAGAGAATTTTGTTCCCCAGAGGAATCTCTTTTGAGCTTTTCAAATGTTGCACATCCCGCATGTCGAATTCGATACATTTGCCTCAGCACATCCGGGGAACTGCGAGCCCGGATCATGCACTGAGAATTAATTCTGATCCGTGCATCCAAAATTATCCCCAACCCGAGATGCCCGGGATGTTCGAAGCCTTTTAAGAACATGGTGATGTGCTCGCTGCCGACGGCGCAGGTCAAACGGTTTTCCTCCAACAGTCCAAACTTGTTTTTGTTTATGGCGCTGCACGGGTTCGACACATTCCTGCACAGAAGCAACGGGAGCGGCCCCTGAGTCAAGTGAAACAAGACCAAGAACACGGGTATAGCCAATCAAAAGATTCATCAATTCCAAGCAAAATGGAATCCTGTTCACTCTAAGCGAAAGAACCACCTCCTCAGACCTACAACCTGTATATTTTGCGCGGTCCCCGCAGCTGGCTGTGAGGACCGCACACGACCACATGACTACACGAACATACGCGAAACCCAATGTATAGCGGCTAATTGCGGATATTGACAGCGCCAAGCCCATCGGCATTTGATCGGCGGGCGAGGATAGCCGAGACACTGCTCAGCAGGCCCACACGCCGTTGCTTCTTTCTTCTGCACCACCACGTCGCCTTCCCTCTCACTGCTGCCGTCACCTGCTCCCAAGATGACCTCGCCTGCTCCCAAGATGTCGCCGTCGAAATCCCTGCTGTCGATGCAGACGGAGACGCCGACGCCAATGCCGACATCGCCATCATCGCAGACCGCCACTCGCGCGCTGGAGCTCCTCTTCAGCGCTACCACCTCCTTCCTCCTCACCTCCGCCCTGCTCCCCCTCTTCCACATCCACTCCTCGTCGCTCACCGTCCTCCGTGTCACGGTGCTGTGTACGCTGCTCGTCTTCGCCGGGATCGACTGTCTTTTATCCGTGTGGCGGATGCGGGCAGGGAAGGCAGTGGTGGATGGGGGGGAGGAGAACCCGCGTTTTACGATTATGCCTAGGAGAGTCAGGGATGTGGAGGCGTGGCCACGCGAGAAGGGCGGGAAGGACGGACTTGGGTCTGAATAGGTGCGTCGTGTCTGATTCATACTCGGACGTTCGCTTATTGATTGTAGGCACATTCTCGTCCCCTCGTCATCATTCCTTGGGTTTTCTGGGCTCGAGGGACTCGGCAAGCTCCGCGCGCATGCATGTCGTTCCTCTGCGCTCACACGTCGGACTCTCATCACCGCCGCACGCACTCATTCTGCATTTCTCTTTCCTCCTGGGCGCATTCTCTTTTTCTCGGGTTTCCTCATTTTGGGTATCAATCGGACTCGCTCCTTTCTATTTATGCTATCCATATCACGACGCACGCTCTACGCAGAACGACTACCTATATCAACCCTCCATCCTCCACCACCATTGTCATACTGCATCATCCATCCGCGCTTCCATCACACCGCCTCCATCCGCACCCTCCGCCCGCATATCATCCCTCCCTACTCCATCCCGTCATCCGCATACGTACTTTCGCGTCTCTTCGCGGGTTCTTACTTTATCTCCCCTGGGTTCTACATACCTCCATTATTCTTACTTTACTCATACGCGCATGTATAATCGTATCTGCTTGTATCCATCCACCTGAGTCTACATCTAAACTCTAGTGACCCGCCGTGACGACTATGATGTGGCGTCAACGACGACGCCGAGCACGTCAAGATGACCAGTATCCAAACCAAAACTCCCGCCGTTCTCAGCCAACAGCGGATGAAATGTCGCCATCAGCCTCGGGGGTTATCGAAGTAAGGGATGTGCTCCGGTCAAAGCGCCGAATTTTGATGGGACTTTGAGAATCACAAACACCTCCGGCGTAAATACTTGACGCAAAAATAAGTTTTGCATATCGCCATTACGAACTTATTATCACTGAGAAGTCGCCGATATGTTGAATGGAGTTCAACGTCATTTTCAACAGCCCGGGGAGTTGGATCTCAATCAATATCCGCGGCAAGTGAATTCCAGCGTAGGGGAGATGGATTTCAACACTGGAAATAGATTCCTCTACACGGGCTCCCTGAAAACGAACTGGGCTACCGCTATTTTGGATAGGTGATTCCGAAAATCCACGGTTAAATTTGGCCGATACCTAAAATTATGTGCCCCTCAAAGGTGTTTTTCCCCCAGAGAGGCGGCATAGTGTATGAAAATCTTCAGCTTCTCAAACCTCATAACTTTGAGGATTCCAGCTGCAGGAGAAGCTCCAAAATATCCGAATAGTGCCGTGCAATCAAACGAGTTCGGAAGCCATCGGCTCCGGGGGGCACTATAATGCTAGGTCCTCACCTGCCTGACAGTGAACCCCCCAAAATGGCCCAACCCACCGACTTTCTCTGAAGAACCCACCGGTTTGAAGCAATGCGCCAGGTTCCGCCACCTCGCCCATCTCGACATCGCACTTTCTTTTGATGGCAGAATTTCTTTGGCTCGGCGTTTTCCGTCGATTTCCGCGAGATCGGTCGCGTTTTCTCTCTTCTTTGTGTACGCAACGCGTCCTGCTCTCGAGCATGGGCGCAGGTGCAAACAAGCGGCGTTAAATCTGCAAAACCGACGCGATCTCGTTTGTGTTCTCGATCCCTTGCTCTGTTCAAAATTTCTACGATATATATCGACACGAAAAGCAAACACAAGAGTTGGCTGTGGGACATCCAGGTCCCAATATTCAAGCAGTACTGCACTAGAATACGATATACATCATCAGAAGGCTGCTCTGAATTAATTATAAGCAGAGGAAGACTCACGAGCGGCAGGTTGAAATCAGTAGCAACAGCTTGGATGTTCGTGCACTGCGAATATATGTCATCGATCAGAAACTCGGAATAATTGAGTGCGGCAGGATTATGAGCTCACCTCGAACGGCGAAGCTACAGTGCTGCACTGTAATACCAATGACGAGTGTCGAGGTTAAATCCAACCGCCTGCGATGCGACCTAAATCACTTACAAGAGGCAGGTCTTCGTCGGGATCGTTTCCGCCAAAAGCGGCCGCGGATTGATCGGTGTTCGTGCACTGCGTTGAACGATTCCGGTTGGTGAGTTTGGACTGATGAAGGTCGAGGACGAGAAGGACGTACGGGGGTGGTCCCGGTAGCAGCAGCGGCCTGTGTACTAGCAGCGGGCGCGGCAGTAGCAATGACTGCAGCCGCAGTCGCGGCCGTTGAGCCCACCGTACTGCACTGTGACAGGATGGAAGATCAAAACGCTTCTCTTATTTTAATATATCGTGCGGAGAACTCACGAGCGGCAAGTTGAAATCAGTAGCAACGGCCTGGATGTTAGTGCACTGAAAACATACGTATATCAATCAGCAACGAGGGATGATTGAGATATAGCAGGATTATGCTGCACTCACTTCGAACGGAGACGCCACGGTGCTGCACTTTAACGTCGGAAGTCAGAATCAACTTAGCTGCGGTGCAACCCAGATCACTGACGAGTGGCAAGTCCTCATCGGGGTCGTTTCCGCCAAAAGCGGCCGCGGATTGGTCGGTGTTCGTGCACTGCGTCGATCACAGTGAATTGAGAGTTGCGTGCATTCAGGATGAGAAGGACTTACGGGGGTACCGCCGGTCGCAGCAGCGGCAGCCTGTGTGCCAGTAGCCGGGGCGGCGGCAGCAGCACTCTGGTGGCGGAATTTGCGTGCCTACATAGGAGACGACATGAGCAAAATCCCTCGAGTTGAATGGCAACAGGAAAGAGCTTACCATCAATGACACATCAGCGGCGATGGGAGCGGCGATGGCAGTTCCGGCAAGGGAAGCGACGAAAGGGAAGATGGCGAAGTGCTTGAAGTACATCGTGATTGAACGTCGATAGTGCGCAGCACTTGAAGTAGAGGGACTAGGAAGGGCCAACTGAAGAATAGGAAAAAACAAACAACCCCGGGTCGATCGAGACTGTGCTGGAAGAAAAGAGAACAGAAACGCGAGAACAGTGAAACTGTAACTGTCCGACCGCTTTTATGCCCTGAGCAGAAGGTTTGTGTAATTTGAGTGATGAACCAATCAAAGCCTCGGATGTCGCGAACAAGGACGTTGGGAGGTGCAAGAAGACAAGCATAGCTCCC